TTGCCTCTCACTTTTCCCTCCCCACTGTTCGTAGGACGTGTGTACAGTATTCCCTGACCCTGTTCTGATTGGTTGGTTGTTACGTTTGATCGACTCTGGAAAAATGTCCATTCTCAATGCATTATTAGAATGACTGACAAACATATGGCATGTTATTTCCTCCAATCCATGTAGAGGATTCCAAGACATTCTGGAATATTTTACGTAATAGATAGTTTGAATTTTACCGGTTACCCCATTTACATGTGTATCAAAACAGTTGCCTTTCTATTTTAGTATTTTTTTTATTAACCTTTTAATTGTAAAATGCTGATAGTACTGTACTGTTATTGTTTATAATCATTTTCATACTGTTGGTAAATAATACAGTAAAGACCTATATCATTAAATAATTTTGTTATTTTAAATAACGAATAATGATAGTGCTGCAAAAGTGGTTAATCAATTGTCCAAAATATATTGTAAATTTGAGTTATTCAGTCATATTGAAGAATTATATTCAGAGTGAATTCATTGTAAATAATTTTATATAGTTAATTATTTATTGTTTTGTGTATATTTTGTACCCTGATAATTTTTTTTCTTACATTGTTTTTTCTTTAAATTTGTTGATTATAATATAGTGTAAACCAGTGATAATTATCACAATAGATATGCTTCATTGATGTTTATGAATAGGATTCATATTAGGACTAAAAGTATAACTTAACAGATTATTCCAACCTGTGTTGTGGTAGGGTTTGAATAAAGGAAAATAAATATAGGAATGCAGTTTTTGATTGTGTATTTTTATTCCAATTGTGAAACTAAGGCCCCGGGCCGAAAAAAGTGGGGCTCCAAGAGGGTTAGCAGCACAACAATTGCAGTGGCGGACCGTAGGGTGAATTGCAGGGTATGCTAGGGCCTGCTATCTGGTTGTCATATATCATATCATTTATTTTACCATTTCAAATTTAAACGAACATAAAAAATTACAAAACGACTCGGCAATACCTGGTAGGATTTCTCGAAAAAATGCAAATGGGAACTGAAGAAATAGAAGTTACAGAAATATCAAAAAAATTATAAACTATAAAAAGCACTTAAAAACTATAAATAAAATAATAATGTTACAATTTAATCATCATTGAAATTATCAATATATTTATTAAAACTGGAATACAATCTGATGGAAACACGTTCCCTCTCTTCAAAAGAATTCCTATTCCTGTATATTTAACAAATAAATTAACAAAAGACGTATGCAAATTTTTTTAACTTTAATCATTGAGATCACAGAATATCTGGTAATACAAATAACCTGATTGGCAGCGGAGGCCCGATGGCTACTGTGTAGAGAGAAGCAAACAATGAGAAGAGGAACATGCGCACAAACTCTTGGAATCGCTGTTGCCTTGACCAGTTGCTCTCTGAGGAAAATCATTCCCACAGTCCCCATTCTATTACAGTACAGAGAATTGACATTACAGTACTGTAAATTGGGAGCGTGTGCTTCGTACAGGTCATTTTCCGTCCTCTAGAAGAACAATTCCCCGATGTCCTTGTATTATGCAATTGACATTATTGATCCTATTTTCTCGCGATTGATTGTTTTTATTTTGAATTTATTATATAGATATAAGATAACAATGGTTGAAAACGAAGTGACATACTAATATGATTTTCTTCTTTTTTTTTTTTTTATTTTGTAAAATGGAATGGCTTGAGAGCCAAAGTTCTTTTAACTGTGGTAATTCCTTGCCAATTGGATTTTGATCCTTGTTTTATTAGCAAAATAAAGAAAACAAAAACAATTTGTTTAATGATTAGGACAACCCAAACAATCCTAAGTATAAAAGATAGTTTCTATTGTGGTCCCAGTAAAATAGTGATAAACAAAATATGAAATTGAGAATCATATTTAGAAGGATTTTTGCAGATAACATTCTGAGGAACTAAACATGACTTTGTTGATCTACACGTTTATTTAGATAATGCTTTAATTTTTGTTTGACCTAAAAAGGTGCAGGTCTACTGTTTTTACTTTGCTAAAACCTTCAGTTAAATATGCTGGAGAAGTTTTATTAAAGGTTCGGAATGCATAATTGCAAGAAAGCTAAATTTCTTAACCTTTCCTGTAAGCCAGATTGTTGCTAAGGTCACCTGCTCTTGTGGTACGCCATATATTTCCCAAAGTGTATTATGAAAAAAAATACAATACAACGAAAACAAGTAAAATGTCATAACAAATTATCGGGTATCAGATAAAGCAATTGTTTAAATCGGAATATCACAAGGAGTGTTGGTAGAATCAATTTTATTGTTTATAAACTTCCTTCTCCAGTATGCATGTCCAGGATTTTGCAGCATATTTGATGATGGTGATGATGATGATGGTCGTGAAAGTATTAAGTATGTTTAGGCGTGATGCTGTTAGCCATCAATGGTACCATGATGATACAAACATAGTTTCCAAATGATGTTGACACCAGTCTACCACGTTGAGGTAGCATCTCCGACTTCAGACTGGAATTATTTTGTTTTCCTATTTTACAGCTTATTTTTATGTTTTCATGATTCATTAGTTAAACTATCTTATCATAATTATATATAGAATAATATTAGGAAATGTGTTTATTGCCAACATCCAGTGTTAATATTCATAATTATTCATATTTTTTCTCTGATTTAACCATGTAAACTTTTAAGGAGGTCGATTTTTTTATATTTTCTTCTATTCCTTTTCAATGGTTATTATTCATATTTGAAATATAAACTATTAGGCCACATTCACAAAAAGTAGGTTCGATTAATATTTGACCACTTGGTTGTCTCTGGTCAACAGGGAGCTTACCGTATTTTTGACTGTATCAAAGAATTGTTACTTTAACTGAATCAATTATTGCAACAATATGCGCTATATAAGAGTACTGTAGCATTATAAAAGTTATTAATTTAAATAGGTCTAATGAAATTATTTTCTAGAGAGCTTTCAAATATTTTCGTTAATGTCTCCATTATAATTGTTTACGAATAATATTGATAAGTAATTTTAGGCCTACTTACCGTTGTTATGTATCTTTCGATTTTAATTAATGTCGATGAACTTATTACTGTTAAAACCTGAGGTTCCTTAAAGACCAAACTATTAGGACTAGGATTTAGATTTCACAAACATCAGGAAAGACTGAGTCAAAGTTGAAATCCATTTGCACACAAGTTGTCTGCAAAATACAAAATGCCATCGTTGAGGACATAACTGATCTAAAATGCTGGTGGCTGTAGACCAAGTTTCTCATAGCTTTGCGTCTTATTAAATCTATTAGTTTTTTATCCCATACACTATCAGTCTTACAAATTGCTATGTCGCATTGTACATGTATGAAATCTACGCAGGTTATTGTATTAAGCTTAAAGTCTAGAATCGTTAGTATTTTAGCCTCTGCTTGGCAATTGCTTTTGGTTCAAAGTACCCACCCTGAATGCATTCACAAGCATATGATATGATGTGACGTGCTTGATATCTGTCGGAAGACTTGAGAGCAAGGCACATGCAAGCAATTGACATTTTTTTCAAGTTCTATCAAACATTTGTTTCATTTTGATGGATGGTATTTTCTAGAATTGTAATGCAATGATAGAATACATTATCATCAATTATATAACCATAACGTTGTAAGTCGTTGTCAGAGGATAACTGAAAGAAAGCTGTAAATGTGATATTTTGTAGGTTCTGCAAATGGTCTGTACTTTTCCCATGGATCTGACGTGGTAATGCTTTCTTGCTCTGTTAATGTTTTTAAGTAATCAAGTAATTCATATGCTTCGTTTTTTGTCTGGCGTAGGTTCGGGG